ATGAATGGTGTCCCCTCTAATGTACCAGCGGGAAGAATAAAATGAGGATAATCGTTCTAGAGAGAATGGAGGAAATATGTTGTTGATGTCCAGGCGACAGCGGAACGTCCACGTTTTACCAAGGTTAACACAGAAATCCTGTAAATTCTTTGTAGTTGTTGCTTGGGAAGGGTTTTGAAGGCTACCATAGTTTGTACCGTGTTATAATAATTATTTCTACAAGTACATGTACAAGGTATACAGGCCTAGCTGACATCAGTGATATACTACTATATAGAAAGGCGCTTGTTATGCAGAGCATTTCGGACAAATTAGGTCAGTTTTGTCCCAGGATGAGACCCACACCTGTCGACTAACACCCAGTTACCCATTATACTGATGGGTGAACATGGATAGCAGATGTCTTATGGAAACACGTCCTAATGTTTTCCAGCCGTACCGGAGATTCGAACTCCGGACCTCAGTGTGTGAACTGAGTGCGCTAGCGATCAAGCTACCATTCGAGTTTTTGAGGAAGAAATAGGAATTAGGAAAGAAACATGCATTTCCTTCGAGAATAGAAGCCGGAATATGAGTGACTTGGATCTACCTAACATGGGCCTTGTGGAAAATACTGTATATATTTTCCGGAAATACGGTAATTTATAGGTAAATGGATGCCCTATATTGTATTTTTAAAATAAGTATGTTACAGAAAACGGAAAACCTGCGGCTGGGGGGGTCACTCGCCATCTTGGTTTTGAATTTTGTACAAACGTTGGTGTAATGGGAAGAATTTTTCGTGCTCTAGAGGTTAAAATTGTGTTGACACCTCTCAAATAGGAGGCGAAATTGTTGGATGTGCATTCCTGCATAACTTGAGATATCAGACGACTGGACAAGACAGCTCCAGGAACCTCAGATAAGCTCTCTAGATTTGTGTGTAATTCTGGCCAGCATTATTTTCATAGATTTAGTTAGAGTGAGGTTTTCTGAGTATGATACACATTAATCTCCAGTCAAATTGGTGAGTGATATTAAGATATATTTTCCTTCTGTTATGTAATTGTGTATATATATAACCATTTATTATTTTTAATATACAGCCCACAAATTTATATATTTACCAGTATTCCTGTTGTATGTATATTTCATTTAATTAATAGGTCCAGAGCAACTTGTGGTTATGACAGTGGTAGGTATCGAAGGGGGACATTTTTTGCGACCTAGGTGTCCCAAATTCCTACTTGTCTATGTAACATTGATAAATAATAATTATCTTTATTATCATTTACTGTTATGTGCATAATTAGTTACATTCAGATAAATGCAATTTTCCACAGGCCTACTGTAGTGACTGTTCTTATGTATTTATATGAGCACCATCTATACCTGGAGTTTACCTGGAGAGAGTTCGGGGGTCAACGCCCCCGCGGCCCGGTCTGTGACCAGGCCTCCTGGTGGATCAGAGCCTGATCAACCAGGCTGTTGCTGCTGGCTGCACGCAAACCAACGTACGAGCCACAGCCCGGCTGGTCAGGAACCGACTTTAGGTGCTTGTCCAGTGCCAGCTGGAAGACTGCCAGGGGTCTGTTGGTAATCCCCCTTATGTATGCTGGGAGGCAGTTGAACAGTCTCGGGCCCCTGACACTTATTGTATGGTCTCTTAACGTGCTAGTGACACCCCTGCTTTTCATTGGGGGATGTTGCATCGTCTGCCAAGTCTTTTGCTTTCGTAGTTTACCTGGAGTTTACCTGGAGAGAGTTTCGGGGGTCAACGCCCCCGCGGCCCGGTCTGTGACCAGGCCTCCTGGTGGATCAGCGCCTGATCAACCAGGCTGTTGCTGCTGGCTGCACGCAAACCAACGTACGAGCCACAGCCCGGCTGATCAGGAACTGACTTTAGGTGCTTGTCCAGTGCCAGCTTGAAGACTGCCAGGGGTCTGTTGGTAATCCCCCTTATGTGTGCTGGGAGGCAGTTGAACAGTCTCGGGCCCCTGACACTTATTGTATGGTCTCTTAACGTGCTAGTGACACCCCTGCTTTTCATTGGGGGGATGGTGCATCGTCTGCCAAGTCTTTTGCTTTCGTAGTGAGTGATTTTCGTGTGCAAGTTCGGTACTAGTCCCTCTAGGATTTTCCAGGTGTATATAATCATGTATCTCTCCCGCCTGCGTTCCAGGGAATACAGGTTTAGGAACCTCAAGCGCTCCCAGTAACTGAGGTGTTTTATCTCCGTTATGCGCGCCGTGAAGGTTCTCTGTACATTTTCTAGGTCAGCAATTTCACCTGCCTTGAAAGGTGCTGTTAGTGTGCAGCAATATTCCAGCCTAGATAGAACAAGTGATCTAAAGAGTGTCATCATGGGCTTGGCCTCCCTAGTTTTGAAGGTTCTCATTATCCATCCTGTCATTTTTCTAGCAGATGCGATTGATACAATGTTATGGTCCTTGAAGGTGAGATCCTCCGACATGATCACTCCCAGGTCTTTGACGTTGGTGTTTCGCTCTATTTTGTGGCCAGAATTTGTTTTGTACTCTGATGAAGATTTAATTTCCTCGTGTTTACCATATCTGAGTAATTGAAATTTCTCATCGTTGAACTTCATATTGTTTTCTGCAGCCCACTGCAGAAAACAATATGAAGTTCAACGATGCATGCAGACTTAGTGACTTTTGTTGTCGACAGGCTTTAAATCCAATTAATTAACTAACCTAACCAAGATGGGTTCTGCGAGCCTCAATAGAGAGACACTGTGCCTTTCTGTAGAGGAACTTTAGTCTGGCATTCGCTTTCTTTACTACACTGTTTCCTATTAGTTCTGACATTCTTGGGTCAAAGGGAATTCCTAGATATTTCACTGAAGTTACTGAAATGATGGAGTCCCCATTATTTACCCATGCCAGAGAATATGGCTTCCGTTTTCCCGAGGTATAATGATAATTTGTTGTCTACTAATCATTTGGGTCTTTACCTGACACTAACAGAGCACTGCCATCTGCATGTAATAGAAGTTTACATCTGGCACTGATAGGCATGTCATTTACATGACACAAAAATAGTAAAGGACCCAGAATACTACCCTGGGGAACCCCACATGCTATTGTGTTGTAATCTCTATGAAGACTTTAGTCGATGCAAAATGTGGATACAACCTCAAGATTTCAGATATCACATCATTAGCAATGAGGTATTTTGCTATATATTATAAGGGTTGCATGGAGATATACCTGGAGAGGGTTTCGGGGTCACCCCCCCTCCCCTACCGCTACCCGGGCGGTGACCAGGCCACGGTGCATGTTTGGATGAATCTTATTGTGGCTTGTGGCTAGCTGGCCCAGTGGCTAACGCGACGGTCTGGAGTTTTGAGACTCTGATCGCGGGTTCTAATCCCGTCCGTGATATGGTTTGTTTGCAATCGTGTCATTACGATTTCGTGAGTTGTGTATGAAGTTAGGCACAGTGGAAATCAAGAACTCCACTGGAAATAAGTCACTTGATCTGACTTTTTTAGGGGGTTATCCTAGGTAATTTACACTATGTATGACAATTGTACTTATGTGTACCTGTGCCTAAACAAACTTATTTTAGTTTGTCTGATTTATGGGGGTTATCCTAGGTAATTTACATATATGTTACTCACCTAATTGTGGTTGCAGGGGTCGATACTCAGCTCCTGGCCCCGCCTCTTCACTGGTCGCTACTAGGTTCTCTCTCTCCCTGCTCCATGAGCTATATCATACCTCGTCTTAAATCTTTGTATGGTTCCTTCCTCCTGGCCTTGCCTGGTCACAGACCGGGCCGCGGGGGCGTTGACCCCCGAAACTCTCTCCAGGTAAACTCCAGGTAAACTTCATCACTTGCCAGACTATTCCACTTCCTGACAACTCTGTGACTGAAGAAATGCTTCCTCACATCCATTTGACTCATATGTCTTCAACTTCCTATTGTGACCTCTTGTGTCTGTGTCCCATCTCTGGAACATCCTGTCTCTGTCCACCTTATCTATTCCTCGCACTATTTTGTATGTCGTGATCATGTTTCCCCTGACCCTCATGTCCTCCAGTGTCGTCAGGCCGATTTCCTTTAATCTTTCTTCGTAGGACATTCCCTTTACCTCTGGAACCAGCCTTGTTACAAACCTTTACACTTTCTCTAATTTCTTGACCTGCTTGACCAGGTGTGGGTTCCAAACAGGCCTGGCGTACACGGTGTACAGAGTCTTGAACGATTCCTTACTGAGGTATCGGAACGCCATTCTCAGGTTTGCCAGGTGCCCGTATGCTGCAGCAGTTATCTGGTTGATGTGTGCTTCCGGAGACATGCTCGGTGTTATACTTACCCCTAGGTCTTTTTCCATGAATGAGGTATGCAGTCTTTGGCCACCTATTCTATACTCCGTCTGCGGTCTTTTTTGCCCTTTCCCTTTGCCCTTCTGTGTAGGATAATTTGTATAACTGTACTTATTTGTACCTGTACCTGAATAAATAAATTACTAACTTACTTATAAATTAACTTGTTAACTTATTAACTTATTAACTTTCTTACTTTATTTGCTTAACTTACTTAGTGTAATTAAGTTATTTATTAATTTACTTGTTAACTTACTGATTAATTTATATAATTTATTAACTTATTTTTTATTACTTTACTTACTTTATTTACATTACGTACTTTACTTACTTAGTGTAATTAAGTTACTTATTAATTTACTTAACTTACTTATTAACTTATTTTCTTATTAACTTTACTTACTTTATTCACTTTACTTAGTGTGATTAAGTTACTTATTTATTAACTTATGTTCTTATTAACTTTATTTACTTTATTTAGTTTACTTAGTGTAATTAAGTTACTTATTAATTTACTTGTTAACTTACTTATTAACTTACTTTGGGTTATCCTAGGTTCTCTACACATATGCTGCTATGTATGATAATTCTATGTAACTGTATTTGTGTATACCTGAATAAACTTACTAACTTACTAACTTACTTACTTACTAACTTACTTACTTAACACAGGCTGGCCAGGGCTGTGACCTGCTTCCACAATGTTTACAAACAAAGGGTTGCAGACGATGTTCCACTCGCCACAAACCCCGGAATCTATCCTAAAAATGATCACATTTAGCTACTCTTGACTAAAGTGACAGTTTTGTGGTAACTTGTAAGCAATGGCTGAGCCTCTGGTCAAGAGGGAAGAGATGGGAGGCAATACTATCCCCAACACTGAGTTATGCGGCTTGTCAACTCATCCTCTCAACAAGTCGGTCAACCATTGCAGTCAAACCTTCACAGACTCTGAGATTTTAAGCAATGATCTGTGTGAACCACTGCAGAGGATCACAGATCCAGAGAACCACATACACGCGAGACAGAACCGGACAGAATATAGTGAGAGTGAGGTTACACAGACGGTGGTTAGGGAAGTATTACAGAGCTGTGAGGGGGAGAAGGAGAACGAGGACACCTCGCTAGTTACTGCTGATAAAGATAACTTATTCTTTGATATAAGTAATAAAGTCAAAGTTGTCTTTAACTTAGAAGGATTAAAAGAAGCTGGGGGTAAGTATACAGAGGTGCATTTGGTTCTTATGGAAATAAGTCACTTTGACCTTTTTTTTTTTTTTATATTATCCTACGTAATTTACTATGTATGATAATTGTACTTATGTGTACTTGAGCCTAAGTAAACTTAGTTCCTTATAGCTTGTAATGAAGATTTGTATGCACTTGCAAGATTTGGATGGAAACTAATCAGCTGTAAAGATTAATATGAATATGCAGTGTGAAGACCTTATTCAGTTCAGTAAACCCAGGGTAACCCAAGAAAGCCAAGCAGTGTGGGTTATTTCCTTTATTATGTACTATTATTTACTAGCATTAGTTTCCCTGAAATGCCGCGGCATGATAGTGGCTTTCTTTGTAGTGTACTTCGCAAACCAAAATTGTAATTACACATTGTAACCTTTACAAAGAAATAAAATCTTTATTCTTTTATTTGAAGTTTATTTTAGGTCCTCTTCACGATATGCAACCCACAGCAGTCGACTAACTCCTAGGTATCTCTTTACCGCTCAGTAACAGGTAGCAGGTGTTAGGGTACTTAATGTCCTGCCTCACACGAGATTTGATCCTGGGTCCTTTTGGTTGAGCTGAGCACATTACCACTGTACTACAAGGTACTTGGATACAGTATAGTACTGTGAATTCTTAGATACGACAATATTGGAGTAATAATTTGCTTTAATTGTGAAAAAATGTTTTACAATTTGTGAAATTAAATTATAGTACATGTATTTGCTTTACAAATTTAATGTAATAAAAATAAAAGTTTTGAAATTCATTTCTTTTCCAATATACTTTGGGTTCATGTTGATCATGCAAAATGAAAATGTGACCATTGGATGAGGCATATGACAAGCAGTTTTAACCTAAAATAGTGTAATTAAACTTGAAATAGCTTAGTCCTGTATTATCAGAGATTTCACACTATCTTTGAGTGATATTTTCTAATTCAAATTTATGATTTTCTAATTGGGCAACATATACACTTGTAGTAATCATCCATGAACTCTACATGGAGTGATCTATTATTCCACACCATATCAAGTATGTGAACCTTTGTGGGCACAATTCTTGAACCTTTGTTTTAGTCAGTTGGCCAATTTCAAACTGAGCTATTCCATTCATGAGTTTTATTTCAAATAATGAATGAAGATGGCTACAAACTGCATTAGGTGCTAAGCATAGGTGAAACTGTTTTTTTTTTTTTTACCACCAATCCACACTACATAGAGCTTTTTTTTTTACATCACCGATCTCCCACTAAGGTAGGGGGACTCTGTATAAAGGAAACATATTCACCGTCATTCATTCAGTAGTTGTCTTCCCAGAGATGTATGAAGATCACACTACATCTTCCAAGCAGCAACATCCCCACTCCCCTTTCAGAGTTCAGGCACTGTACTTTTCACTTCTAAGTCTCCAGTCTGGCACAAACCCTGTCATTCACAGGGGTTGTCTACGTACAGTATGCCACTGCAAGTATCATATTTTAACTTGGTCACCTTTTTATTTTGAGCTGTAACAAATGGGCATTTTTTGTATCAAGGATCTCACCAGTTTCATATTCTTCTCTTCTATCCTTAACATCTATGTATTTGCTGTAGAGATAAGGAAATTGTTCATTTATTTTAAAAATAGTTTTTTTCAGGTCTGCTGTATATTGGGTGTAAAGGTGAAGTTGACAAAACTAATCCATCTAAGGTAAGTTTTAAAACAAAGTTCCCAGTGATTGATATATGTACTGTACTGTACAGTTCTGTATTGTATCTGGAAAGTGCACAGACTTATTTTCATATGGTCATGTCTGGCTAACACATTTCCTTGAATCTCTTCATAGATATTAATATTCATATATTTCAACAGCACATTAAATCCAAAAAGATTATAAGACACAATACTATGGTTAGAACATTTCACAGATAGCAAATTTCTGCCTCCATTCTAATCAAACATGTTCACCTGTGCATGATAAATGTTAAATCCCTTGCCTCAGTATCTTCTTCACACTCTTAATCCCTCCACTCCAGATTTGTATGACATTTTAATTAACTTCTTAATCTCCAAACTTTCTGCATGACAAAACTACCTCAACAAACTCATATGCTGTAATAAAGTTGGTAGAATTACCAACAATATGTAAAGTAAAAGGACACAAGTGCAACTAATGTGACATTTTTATTGTGGCAACGTTTTGCTCTCCAGGAGCTTTGTCAGGCTGTTACGACTTGACAAAGCTCCTGGAGAGCGAAACGTTAAGTTTCATTAGTTGCACTTGTGTCCTTTTACTTTACAAACTCATATACTCTTTGAATTATACCTTTTGTAACACTGCATCATTTTCTGTTTCCTTTTCTTTTAAAGTCAGCATTATAGCCACACCATATACTAATACAGTAAAATTTATGTTGTGTGTCTGTGCACATGTGAGTAGGTAAACTACGGTAAACCATTATGTCAAGAGAATGTTTGTAGGATACTGTATTAAATAATTGTAGGCTTATAAATGCACAGTGTCAATAAAATATTTTTTTTAGATTACAGAATGGTTTACTGCAGAGTTTTTAAATCTTCATAGAGTATATGCCATTAAAGAAGAGGAGCCTTTTCTTCTCAGGATTTTTACACGCAATCATGAGTCAACAAATCGTGGAATCAGGAAGAAGGGAGGACGAAAAGTAAGATTATTATTTTATGTGATATGTGTACTGCTATGTAGTTCACTCACAGTTGGATGTTTCATAGTCATGTCTGTATTGTCTATTTTGTATGTACCTTGTAATGTATTTGTTACCCATAAGTGTTTATTTCAGGAGAAAGGGGCTAGTAACCCCTTCTCCTGTATATATTACTAAATTCAAAAGGAGAAACTTTTGTTTTTCCTTTTGGGCCACCCTGCCTCAGTGGGATATGGCCGGTGCATTGAAAGAAGATGATGTGTTGATTTACTTACCATAAAGGGTATCATATTTAACCTACCATAAATATTAATTTACAGTAGTAAAAAGTAAGTTATAAGTTATTGATGTACAAAGTTTGCTGTATTGAACCAAGAGCATCTTCCTATATTACAACACTGCTAAAGACTAGGTAACAGCTAAATGCAGGCAGATACCATAGTTGTGGATGACATTTTTGATCCCTTATAATGCCTTTTTGATTTTACATGTCAGTTGGATTGTTTGTCTCTGAGTGGTTAATAGTAGTTCTTATAGAACACTAATTAATCTGCCTCAAATTTTAAACTTATAAACATTTGCACTGTATTTATTTCAAACAGTTTTAGGGTACTGTGTAATCCTCACTGTTTGTGACTTTGAAAACTAATGTTTTTTAGTAAATGAGCAGTCTTTGTTTTGTGAAAATATACAGTACAGTCCTAGGTAGTAGGTTGGTAAACAGCAACCGCCCAGGGAGGTACTACCGTCCTGCCAAGTGACTGTACAACGAAAACCTGTAATTGTTTTACATGATGGTAGGATTGCTGGTGTCTTTTGTCTGTCTCATAAACATGCAAGATTTCAGGTATGTCTTGCTACTTCTACTTGCACTTAGGTCACACTACACATAAATGTACAAGCATATATATACACACCCCTCTGGGTATTCTTCTATTTTCTTTCTAGTTCTTGTTCTTGTTTATTTCCTCTTATCTCCATAGGGAAGTGGAACAGAATTCTTCCTCCGTAAGCCATGCGTGTTGTAAGAGGGGACTAAAATGCCGGGAGCAAGGGTCTAGTAACCCCTTCTCCCGTATAAATTACTAAATTTAAAAGAGAAACTTTCGTTTTTCTTTTTGGGCCACCCTGCCTTGGTGGGATATGGCCGGTGTGTTGAAAGAAGAAGAATACAGTACAGTATATTAGTAATTATCCCTTAGAATTATGTATGGGATATGGTACCTATTTATTAAAATCATTTAAATTTATAAGTCTTTTGGTAAAAAGTGCTGTGTTTGTTTATTGAAATAATTTAAATTGTCATAAATTTGGCATAACTTAGTTTTTGTTTAACTGAATATTTGGCCTTTATAAATGCTGCTCACAATCTCTGACTTAGCAATCTGTATGCACACACTATTTTTTATAATCTTCTAAACTGATTTCATTAATAGAATTAATATACAGTATATAAAGGGCTCAAGTTGCATTTACTACTTAACTATTAAAGTACGCAGTAATTTTTCATGTTTTAATATTTGTCCATGCTACACATCTATCACCATTTCATGAAACCATGCCAAAACATGTAAATAACTTGGGGAAGGGGTTAGTTCTTTGTTAAATTATTATTATTATAATTTTGATATTTTCAGGTAATGTTGATGGGTCAGGAAGTGTTTGGAGATGTGTTGCTTGCTTGTGGTCACTGTGGTTACTGGTCTCACGAGGGAAGTAATGTTCGGAGGCACCTCAAGAAATCTGTGTGTCTTAAAGAGAGAGGGTATTCAAAAGAAGATTTAGCAGGACTAGATAGAACAGAGAGAAGGAAATTTCTCAGAAGAGTGGCAGCAGCAAAGTGCCGTGCTAAGAAGCGAGCGAGAGGTATGTCACGAGTTATTTTGACACCAAACTGTAAGAATTGTGCTTACAGTAAAGAGAACAGGTGAACTTCAGTAGTGCATTACAAATGCTGTCAGTTTTCATTATGTTTATAGTTGTATTACTTACCCTGGAAGAGAACAGGAATGGGTGTTCCTAGCTTTGTATACAGTATTTGCAAGCTTAACACTGTTATCCCACTTTATGTCATTAATTAACATTTTACCATGCAGCACAACCTGCCAATCACATTTCATCCAAATCCTCAGTCACTGTGGTGTACAGGTCAAATAAAGTCAAGAATATTTGCCTGAAGTGTATCACCTTACCAAGGAAGCAAACCCAGATCTTCTCATGTGCTGACTATGTGTGTTTGCTGTTACACTCAGATGCCAGGCTAAAGATAGCTAGATGTTTGCAAATATTCAAGAAATAATTCATGCATAATATTGGTGGATACAAATAATGCTGACTTTCTGTAGAGTAATTCACTAAAATTTATTAATGTAATACTCTGAATCTCTCATCACAACCAGTTCATCTATAATTATACCCTGAAGGTCAACACAATATTGTATTAATGTAATAGAAATATGTACTGTTCCAGTGAGTAAAAAATCAGACTTAATATTATTGAGATTTATGTCCCTGAAAATTACTGCACAATCTAAAATCATTCATTATTATGTCTAAAATATGTAGTATATCAAGCACTTGAAGTGGGGAAAGCCTTTATTTCATCTAACATGGGGTTCATCTTTTAGTACATACTTCAAAAGCTCCACTGTGGATGAAGTAATTACCTGTTGGCTTATGTTATTGTCTACTTAACATACTATACATAGAAAAGATAGAGTTAGGTTCCAAAATAATCAAGGTTAATTTTACTTGCCTGACAATCAAGAATGTCAACTGACATATGTGATAGCTATCCTTCATGTTAGGCAAGTTAAATTAGGTTAAGCTGGGATATGATTACCGTCTCTTCTTTGTAAAATATTCTTTCTTGAGTTAAATCTGGATAAACATTCTCCACATTATGTATGCTTATGCAGATACTGTATAAATTAAAAGGATAAGGCAAAGGCTCTCTGAGTGAAGATGGAAAATAGTATATGAAATAGTGCCTAAGAATTTCCTTAATGTGCTTTTAGATGTTGCTTATAGTAATAGTTGTTTGTTACCCAAATATGTAATTATAACTTCAATAAACTTTATGAGTATATTTTTGCTGAAATGGATTGTTGATTTGCAGCTACAGTAGATGAGGGTACACCAGAGAGAAATGGAGTAGATGGGAATCAACCTAAAGCTGGCACAAATTCCTACACACCATATCCTCTAAACTTGGGAATGTCTTCTAATGCATATGTAGAATGCCTTGTAGAGATTCAAGAAACTTGCTGTGGGACAGGAATTCCAAGAACTACTACCACTACTAACACTAGAGTACCTACTGGTGTGCCTAATGCCTCAGTTGTGAATGGATTACCACAACCAAAAATAAAAAGGAAGCCTCCAAAATATAAAGCTCTTACTCTTGGACCTGCTGTAGAGCAGGAAGTGGTTCAGAGAGTGCCATATGATATATTTACTGTAAATGAAAAAAATGAAAGAGTAGCGTGGAAACCTCCAGTATGTCATAAGGTACAGTATGCCCAAAGTTTGGTTCATTGAGAGATTGCAGCATTTTGGGGTTCATTGAGATATTATAGTATTGTGTATTTCAGTGAGAGATTATGATATTTTGTGGTTCATTGAACTATTACAGTTCTGTGGTTCTCAAGAGCTTATAGTATTATATATGGTTCACTGAGTAATTACACATATAAAACTCATTTTCTGGCCAATGATATTACAACAATTCCAAATATGTCGTTGGTTTTGCTTGATTGGATCTATGTTTTGATAAATTTTGTATCCCATTGAAAAAACAAAAAAGATGTGAAAAACGTATTGATCAGGCAGGGCTAGCTTGCAGATCGCATTGAAATTATTTTTTAGATCATGCAAAAGTCAGATAATGCACTTCATTCTATATAATAGCAGATTAACATAGTAAGATAATTCTGCAATACCATTTTGATATTTTCATATTCTTCTTTGTTTTGTTGGGTGAGCAGCTGGAAGAGATGCATATTGGTTACCACTGTGGAATAAGACACATTTCAAAACTTTTAATGGAGCTGTCCATAAACAGAGGCCAGTCTCCTGGTCAGTATTCAAGTTCCATTCAAAGAAGTCCAGGAATGTTATTGCAGTATACACGTTCTTCATCTTGGCTGAAGTAAGCAAGGAGTTCAGTCTCTCTTGTCCAATAAGCTGTTATTTTAACTTCTGGTTGCAGACAGTTCTTTTCTTTTAGTCTGGATGCTAAAAGTTTTGTGACAGACTGAGGTGACGTATCAGATCATTGAGTTCTTCTTGGGAGAACTGTTGAGCTAATGAAATGCTTACTTCATATTCATTTCCACTGCTAGCACCTGTGTTACATCCTAAACCTTGAGTTTCTTCAACATCTGACAACGGAAGGTCAGGCAGTGTTGTAAACACAGGTATGGGAATGTCTTCACTGTGTGGCACAGGTCTCCTTACTGACTCCAGGTCAGGATATTCTCACTTTACTTTCTTGTATTGATTGAAACCTTTCACATTCACCATACAGAAAAAACAATCAACATGGTGTTTTTTTTTTTAGCTCTCTCCACACTACAGGCACATTGAAGTTTAAACTTTTCCTTTTTCACATTTTTCCACTGTTGTAAGCATTCTACACAGGTTTTGCAAACCATATGGGAAGCCCAAGACCTGTCTTGTTTTCCAAGTGCCACTCCAAAATAAGCAAATAAGTTTGTGTTACAAAATCTGTGATGTTTTTTCTTTGTTTTCGCAAAAAAGTGTTTGCTATAAATGTAGAAAAATGCGTTGGGATTGTTTAAACACGCTCTTCATAAAGAACTAATTTTTATCTGGAAAAAATAGCAAAATAAACGTTATAATATTGTCACGAGGTTGTTGTTGATACACTTTAAAGGAGGGGTTTGGGATATTGGCAGTTTGGAGGGACTTCTGAACTGTCATATCTGAGCGCCTCTGCAAAGACAGTGATTATGTATGAGTGAGATGAAAGTGTTGAATGATGATGAAAGTATTTTCTTTTGGGGGTTTTCTTTCTTTTTGGGTCATCCTGCCTAGGTGGGAGACGACCAACGTGTTAAAAAAAAAATCTAATCTTTATTAAAACTATATAGAAATTATCTCTACATATACTGATACACACGTTATAGCAAAATGCCCTGTTATTTGAGGGCAGGAATGCAATACCTCACAAACTAGAGCCAATTTGAAAAACCTACTGACATTTTCGAATTCAGAAACCCCAAAATACCCTAAATCTTTTCTTTCTTTCAATGCACTATCCGTATCCCACTGAGGTGGGGTGGCCCTAAAGGAAAAACGAAAGTTTTTCCTTTTAAATTTAGTAATATATACAGGAGAAGGGGTTACTAGCCCCTTGCTCCCAGCATTTTAGTCGCCTCTTATGACACGCATGGCTTACGGAGGAAGAATTCTGTTCCACTTCCCCATGGAGAATACCCTAAATATCTTCAAATATTTTTGACAACAATTTTTTTTATATTGCCCAGTTATTATTATTATACTATGTATAATTATACAATGTGCTAAATCATGTTGTTTATTCAGTGTAAGGATTGGTGGGGCTCAATCCTCTGACCACTACTTGCCAGACAGACACACTATCATAGCATTTTTTCAGACAGGCTTTTCCCATTCAGGGATTACAATACATGTATTTTGATTTCTAATTCTTAAGGGTGTGCACATAAATTATTAACCCACAATGTTTATCACATGTAAAAATGACAAAACATAATCATTATATGTTGTACATTGATTGTTGAACTGAGGTACAACATGATTAATGAAAGGGGTCGATACTGTTCTGTTAAACTCATTATGAATGATAATGTGGTGATGAAATAACTCCCATATTACAGTTAAATGATTATTGATGAGAATTTGTTTTCTTAGGTACCTAAAGACTTGCTTAGTCATAAAAGGTGTGAGAAGTGTGTCATATTTTTTCCATAGTGTATATGAGATAGCATTAATATAAAAATAACACTTTTCAGGCACTAGTTGGTAATAAATTCTTTGTTTACCCCTTTCAAGTCTTCCCCGGGAGATCAGGCGTGTCAAATAGTTTTTAAAGGTGCACGAATGAAACGACGCTGTATGGACTTACCAGTTCCCATGGTTCTAATATACCGTAAGTTGGACTGCAAAACTCATCATTGCAACTTTACGCTTTTTCATCCCAATGCCAGAGCCTCATTCAAAAACGATACTACAGCAAAAGCCTCGGTGAATGTCAAGATGTATGGAGGTACGTATCTTAGGTGGTTTTTAGAATGTATGTATGGTGCGTAAACCAAATTATGTTTATTTTTTAATTTTAAGCCAGGATATTCATAAATTACTTATACCAGAATTTTTTTCATTTTCTGAAAATTGCTTCACATTTTCTGACAATGAATAATACTTAAAACGAACTATCGTTCAACAGGAACTTGAATCCACATTCATAGATTGACAAAATATTGACAAAATATATGGCCATGAAAAATAAAATGTAGGCAAGTCCTTCTGCAATTTATACCAACATAATGTGTAAATTCAAGAATTATGTGGATTAAAGTAAAGGTTGGATGTGAAAAGTGGGTCATAATAAGCGTGTATGCACCTGGAGAAGAGAGGAATGTAGAGGAGAGAGAGAGATTTTGGGAGATGTTAAGTGAATGTATAGGAGTTTTTGAACCAAGTGAGAGAGTAATTGTGGTATGGGATCTGAATGCTAAAGTAGGAGAAACTTTTAGAGAGGGTGTGGTAGGTAAGTTTGGGGTGCCAGGTGTAAATGATAATGGGAGCCCTTTGATTGAACTTTGTATAGAAAGGGGTTTAGTTATAGGTAATACATATTTTAAGAAAAAGAGGATAAATAAGTATACAAGATATGATGTAGGGCGAAATGACATGATTATGTATTGGTAGATAAAAGACTGTTGAGTAGACTTCAGGATGTACATGTTTATAGAGGGGCCACAGATATATCAGATCACTTTCTAGTTGTAGCTACACTGAGAGTAAAAGGTAGATGGGGTACAAGGAGAATAGAAGCATCAGGGAAGAGAGAGGTGAAGGTTTATAAATTAAAAGAGGAGGCAGTTAGGGTAAGATATAAACAGCTATTGGAGGATAGATGGGCTAATGAGAGCATAGGCAATGGGGTCGAAGAGGTATGGGGTAGGTTTTAAACCATTTTTAAAATGTAGTGTTAGAGTGTTTAGCAGAAGTTTGTGGTTACAGGAAAGTGGGTGCGGGAGGGAAGAGGAGCGATTGGTGGAATGATGATGTAAAGAGAGCAGTAAGGGAGAAAAAGTTAGCATATGAGAAGTTTTTACAAAGTAGAAGTGATGCAAGGAGGGAAGAGTATATGGAGAAAAAGAGAGAGCGGTTAAGAGAGTGGTGAAGCAATGTAAAAAGAGTGCAAATGAGAGAGTGGGTGAGATGTTATCAACAAATTTTGTTGAAAATAAGAAAAAGTTTTGGAGTGAGATTAACAAGTTAAGGAAGCCTAGAGAACAAATGGATTTGTCAGTTAAAAATAGAAGAGGAGAGTTATTAAATGGAGAGTTAGAGGTACTGGGAAGATGGAGGGAATATTTTGAGGGATTGTTAAATGTTGATGAAGATAGGGAAGCTGTGATTTCGTGTATAGGGCAAGGAGGAATAACATCTTGTAGGAGTGAGGAAGAGCCAGTTGTGAGTGTGGGGGAAGTTCGTGAGGCAGTAGGTAAAATGAAAGGGGGTAAGGCAGCCGGGATTGATGGGATAAAGATTGAAATGTTAAAAGCAGGTGGGGATATAGTTTTGGAGTGGTTGGTGCAATTATTTAATAAATGTATGGAAGAGGGTAAGGTACCTAGGGATTGGCAGAGAGCATGCATAGTTCCTTTGTATAAAGGCAAAGGGGACAAAAGAGAGTGCAAAAATTGTAGGGGGATAAGTCTGTTGAGTATACCTGGTAAAGTGTATGGTAGAGTTATTATTGAAAGAATTAAGAGTAAGACGGAGAATAGGATAGCAGATGAACAAGGAGGCTTTAGGAAAGGTAGGGGATGTGTGGACCAGGTGTTTACAGTGAAACATATAAGTGAACAGTATTTAGATAAGGCTAAAGAGGTCTTTGTGGCATTTATGGATTTGGAAAAGGCGTATGACAGGGTGGATAGGGGGGCAATGTGGCAGATGTTGCAGGTGTATGGTGTAGGAGGTAGGTTACTGAAAGCAGTGAAGAGTTTTTACGAGGATAGTGAGGCTCAAGTTAGAGTATGTAGGAAAGAGGGAAATTATTTCCCAGTAAAAGTAGGCCTAGGACAAGGATGTGTGATGTCACCATGGTCGTTTAATATATTTATAGATGGGGTTGTAAGAGAAGTAAATGCAAGGGTCTTGGCAAAAGGCGTGGAGTTAAAAGATAAAGAATCACACATAAAGTGGGAGTTGTCACAGTTGCTCTTTGCTGATGACACTGTGCTCTTGGGAGATTCTGAAGAGAAGTTGCAGAGATTGGTGGATGAATTTGGTAGGGTGTGCAAAAGAAGAAAATTAAAAGTGAATACAGGAAAGAGTAAGGTTATGAGGATAACAAAAAGATTAGGTGATGAAAGATTGGATATCAGATTGGAGGGAGAGAGTATGGAGGAGGTGAATGTATTCAGATATTTGGGAGTGGACGTGTCAGCGGATGGGTCTATGAAAGATGAGGTGAATCATAGAATTGATGAGGGGAAAAGGGTGAGTGGTGCACTTAGGAGTCTGTGGAGACAAAGAACTTTGTCCTTGGAGGCAAAGAGGGGAATGTATGAGAGTATAGTTTTACCAACACTCTTATATGGGTGTGAAGCATGGGTGATGAATGTTGCAGCGAGGAGAAGGCTGGAGGCAGTGGAGATGTCATGTCTGAGAGCAATGTGTGGTGTGAATATAATGCAGAGAATTCGTAGTTTGGAAGTTAGGAGGAGGTGCGGGATTACCAAAACTGTTGTCCAGAGGGCTGAGGAAGGGTTGTTGAGGTGGTTCGGACATGTAGAGAGAATGGAGCGAAACAGAGTGACTTCAAGAGTGTATCAGTCTGTAGTGGAAGGAAGGCGGGGTAGGGGTCGGCCTAGGAAAGGTTGGAGGGAGGGGGTAAAGGAGGTTTTGTGTGCGAGGGGCTTGGACTTCCAGCAGGCATGCGTGAGTGTGTTTGATAGGAGTGAATGGAGACAAATGGTTTTTAATACTTGACGTGCTGTTGGAGTGTGAGCAAAGTAACATTTATGAAGGGGTTCAGGGAAACCGGCAGGCCGGACTTGAGTCCTGGAGATGGGAAGTACAGTGCCTGCACTCTGAAGGAGGGGTGTTAATGTTGCAGTTTAAAAACTGTAGTGTAAAGCACCCTTCTGGCAAGACAGTGATGGAGTGAATGATGGTGAAAGTTTTTCTTTTTTGGGCCACCCTGCCTTGGTGGGAATTGGCCAGTGTGATAATAAAAAAAAAATAATAATAATATATATACAAGCTTAATCAGAAGGTCAAGACCAGAGGTTGGTGAACTTTTTGGGGTATTACCCCAAAACAAATTTGTGTACAGTGAAATTCCTCACTAGACTTGAAAGTCCACAGAATCCAGAAAACACAAGGAGCATTCAAATTCAAAATAGTTTATTGAATCCATTTGTATAGAGGATACAGTCATTCAAGCTGAAAAATACGTATTATACACGATAAAGCAACTTTAAATATAAAACAAAATTAACTATATAATAAAATGAAAAATAAATAATAAATTTTTGTGCAATTTTATTTACTATATGTTTATTGAGCCTTCATTACCCCAAAGATTTTCATTTTTACCCCATTTGGGGGTAATTTACCCCAGTTCCCTGACCTAGGGGTCTAGACAAACTTACTTCTGTACAGTACTGATCCTACTGACTGGTAGTCTCCTTAGTGGTTCCAGTGGCATATACCCTATTTGAATTTTCATTACAATTACCAGTCCTAGGTAGTAGGTTGGTAGACAGCAACTGCCCAGGGAGGTACTACCGTCCTGCCAAGTGAGTGTAAAACGAAAGCCTGTAATTGTTTTACATGATGGTAGGATTGCTGGTGTCCTTTTTTCTGTCTCATGAACATGCAAGATTTCAGGTACGTCTTGCTACTTCTACTTACACTTAGGTCACACTACACATACTTGTACAAGCATATATATACACACCCCTCTGAGTTTTCTTCTATTTTCTTTCTAGTTCTTATTCTTGATTATTTCCTCATATCTCCATAGGGAAATGGAACAGAATTCTTCCTCCATAAGCCATGCATGTTGTAAGTGGCAACTAAAATGCCGGGAGCAAGGGGCTAGTAACCTCTTCTCCTGTATATATTACTAAATGTAAAAGGAGAAACTTTCGTTTTTCCTTTTGGGCCACCCCCGCCTCGGTGGGATACGGCCGGTGTGTTGAAAGAAAGAAAGAATTACCAGTGTGTCTGTTACATGAATATCGGATGAGGATCGAGCTGTAGAGAACTGGTTAGATAAGTACACTTTCCTTCCTGCATGAAACAAACATAAGACAAGTGTTTCTTATCTTTTAACAGAATGATGTCCAACAGCCTCTCCCTGGAAATCCCTTCGGGGTGCCATACCATTTTCATTTACCCCTGGCACCCCAAATTTACCTACTACTCCCTCCACAACATTTTTGCCCACTTTAGAATTGAAATCCCCAACCACCATTACTCTCACACTTGGTTCAAAACTCCCCATGCATTCACTCAACATTTCCCAAAATCTCTCTCTCTCTCCTCTACACTTCTCTCTTCTCCAGGTGCATATATGCTTATTATAACCCACTTTTCACATCCAACCTTTATTTTACTCCACATAATCCTTGAATTAATACATTTATAGTCTCTCTTTTCCTGCCATAACTTATCCTTCAACATTATTGCTACTCCTTCTTTAGCTCTAACTCTATTTGAAACCCCTGACCTAATCCCATTTATTCCTCTCCATTGAAACTCTCCCATCCCCTTCAGCTTTGTTTCACTTAAAGCCAGGACATCCAGCTTCTTCTTCTTCATAACATCCACAATCATCTCTTTCTTATCATTTGCACAACATCCACGCACATTCAGACTTCCCACTTTGACAATTTTCTTCTTATTCTTTTTAGTAATTATTACAGGAAAAGCGGTTACTAGCCCATTGTTCCCGGCATTTTAGTTAACTTTTACAACACGCATGGCTTACGGATGAAAGATTCTTATTCCACTTCCCCATGGATATAAAAGGAAAAGTAATAAGACCAAGAACTATTAAGATAAAATCAAAGAAAACTCAGATAAGTGTGTATAAATAAACATGTGCATGTATGTGTAGTGTGACCTAAGTGTAAGTAGAAGTAGCAAGACGTACCTGTAATCTTGCATCTTTATGAGACAGACAAAAGACACCAGCAATCCTGCCATCATGTAAAACAATTACAGGCTTTCGTTTCACATTCACTTGGCAGGACGGTAGTACCCCCATGGGTGGTTGCTGTCTTCCAACCTACTACCTACTAGTTCTTGTTCTTGTTTATTTTCCCTTATCTCCATGAGGAAGTGGAGCAGAATATCTTCCTCCATAAGCCATGCGTGTTGTACGAGGTGACTAACATGCCGGGAGCAAGGGGCTAGTAACCCCATCTCCTGTATACATTACTAAAGTTAAAAAGAGAAGCTTTTGTTTTTCTTTTTGGGCCACCATGCTTCAGTTGGATATGGCCTGTTTGTTGAAAAAAGAAAAATTATATAGCTAGCAGTACTGTACCATAATTGTCAAAACTGATCATTTGTGTGACTTGTAATTTAAGAATGTCCAGTATTTGATTTCTAAAAGTCTGTACTGTTTTCCCTCTACAGATATAGTCATGACACAAGAGTTTTATCACTACTTTGTCTCGCTTCTGTCTATCATGAAGATGAAGTCTTCTCAGACTGCGAGACACTTAACAAGCGTTTGGGAAACCATAATTAGTGAAAGGTTGGGAACCACAGCAATACCTGATGAGCATCGTAAGGTTATAACTCTCTCCAAGCAAACAGTGAGTTAAATCCTAATCTGTCTCTTTTTTTTTTTTTTTTAATTTAGCTGTATACCCTGTACAGGCTTAGCACATGTTTTGACTACAATAGTAATACTAATGCTAACAATAATCATAATAATTTTTGTTTTTGTTTTTACATACTGGCCGTCTCTCACCAAGGCAGGGTGACCAAAAAAAGAAAGAAACACTTTCACCATCATTCAACACTTTCACCTGCACTCAACACTTTCACCATCATTCACACATAATCACTGTCTTTGCAAAGGTGCCCAGATAGTATTATTATTGTTGTTGTTATGTTTAAAATTAATTTGGACAATATTTTGCTTTTTTTTTAATTATGACATCAACCATCTCCTACCATGGTTGGGTGGCCCAGAATTGGATACCCATACACCATCAATAATTCAGTAACCATCTTTCAGACATGTGTCAACATTACACTTCAAATGACCCTCTGAATTGCAGCATCCCCACCCCTCCAGAGCACAGGCACTGGGCTACCTGCCTGCAGGACTCAAGTCCACCTGACTGCCTTTCTTGAACTTCTTCATAAATGTATATGCTCAATAATTTGTTTCACTGTGAGCTTTTCGAGTATTCTTGAACATGAATGATGAAGCTCATAACTAAGCAACTCTTTGATCAGTAAAGCCTTTCTGTGCTATTTTTTTTAACCACATGTTACTGGACTATGTTTATAATACAGTGCATAAGATTATAAAATGTTAATATTATTGACTTTGGTATATTTATTAGTCATTCTTTTCGTTTTTTATGTATTACCATATGCTAATCTTGGGATTTGAATAATAATTTTTTTATCTTGCTTTTATTTATCAGGTAAAGTCAATTTGGACAAGTATTGAAGAAGAGGCTGGGAGCAGAGGAGGCTTGAGGCTGTTAAAAGGGTCTAAACGCAAGAAAAAGCCACCAGCTTCCTCAGCTGCTGCCATTACTCCTCCGTCCAGTGTAGCTCCTGTGAGCCATCAAGGTCCAGTTGCTGTATCTTCTTGGGGCGTCACAACAGTACAAGTACTCCAACCTGGGATGCAGCATCATTGTGTGAAACGCCTGAATCATGGTGTTCCAAAACCACATCTTCCTCCTCCTCCTCCCCCTCCTCCTCCTCCTCCCCCTGCCCCTCCTCCAACACTACCTCCCAAACCTCATATGATGCCCCCTCCTCCTCCTCCACCTCACAACCACATGCAACAACCTACCCATCCAACAGTTACACACACCCACTGGCTTGGGCAGCCACCACAATATCCACACAATATGACCCCATATCCAATGGCACCACCACCTACTGCTGAATATTATCCCATGCCAGGGCATTTCATGGCTCAATACACACCAGCAACAATGGGTACCTCACCCTGAATATATATCAGTTTTGCTCACGAACAGAATCCTGATGTATTCTTTTGCTTTTGTGAACATATAGTACCTACTGGTACAGTATGTATTACGATATGTTCTCATACTCTGTCCACGAGCAACTATGTGTTGTTTTGTTGCAATCTGTTCCCCTTCATGTTTTGGACTTGACAGGTGTCCCTCACTTTGTGATAGATGCATGCATGGTTGATTGCACATAAAGCAAAAATCACATGAAGCATATCAATTACAATGTAATAAATAGGGATTTGTTCTTTGCCGATTCCACATTTTTTCACTAATATTTACCAAAAAGAAATATGAGCTTAGCATACATTCATCAAATAGTAATATATATGAAAGAAATAAATTTGATTAAAACCATTTAAGGAAAAAATTGTACTGGTACTTGCCAACAGCAGCAAACACACAAGCACATGAAGACATGGAGGTGGAGGGGGGTGCTGAAGAATTAGTTGGTGTAAGGACAGTGGTGCAGAGTGGTCAAGGTCACACTTGTAGGAGGCAAGGTAACGTGAAGAGAAGAAGACACATATAAGGAGCTGTCAACATACAATAACAGTGAAGGTATAGAGATGGAAGTTCCAGCAAGAGTGATGCTGGGTGTGGGTGAAGGAGACCTTAAGATGTCAGCTTGGAGGTCTGCTCAGCCATTTGTTGCTTCTGAGCATACACCTAGGCACTAAGGGCATTGTTCTCACTATGAATTTCAGGCTCCTCTCCAGGCAAGTGTCAATGTCCATGGCAAACTGGAAAAGTCTCTTAGCTTATGTAAACCATTCTTCAAGCTTCTTCATGGTCATATCCTTTACATCAAGGAACTTCATCATCTCCTTTTTCAGTTGTGGAAATCTCAGTGAGGTCATCAATGCCCCTAATTCTTTATTATGGAAAACAATAAGCTTCAAAAGATTTTTTTATTATGGGAAAACAATAAGCTTGTTGCAGTTTAAAAACTGTAGTGTAAAGCACCCTACTGGCAAGACAGTGATGAAGTGAATGATGGTGAAAGTTTTTCTTTTTCGGGCCACCCTGCCTTGGTGGGAATCGGCCAGTGTGTTAATAAAAAAAAAAAAAGCTTTAAAACTTCTCCCTTAAGGTCTGAGAAGCCTTCCCCTCCCACCTTCCTTCCAAGCTCAACGACTTCTCTCGTGCTTGTTGACAGTTTTTGGAAGTCCTTGAGGTTCATAATGCAGTGTCCCAAATGGACTTCCAAGCACCATTCAAGGCAGAAAACTTCATTTCATCTCATAAAGCCTTATTGTTTATTGCATTCCTAACATTGTATGACTCCCACCACTCACACAGTCTTGGCTTGTTGGTCCCATCTGTGTCATCCAGCGACTGGAACATTGTCCTTAGGTAATAGGCCTTAAATGTTGCAATAACTCTCTGATCAAAAGGCTAGATTGTTGACATGTTCAAAGTGTTTAGGGGTATTGTCAAGGACAAGCAAGACATTAAAAGCTAAATTAGATTCCTTGTAGTGGTACTCTGTCTCCATGATGAAATGCACCAATTTTCAGAAATTTGACCTGTCACCCATCCCTTCTTGTTTACAGCCCAGTGTGCAGGGATCATGTTCTTACTCAGCTCTTTCAGTGCATGTGGATTGAGGGAGTGGTACACTAGTATCGATTTACACTTTAAAACTTCTGCAGCACTGCTGCATAGTAGGACACTGAGCTTGTCCTTCACTGCCTTGAATCCACCTACAACCTTCTCCTTAGATATGTATATCCTAGATAGCGTCCATTTCCAAAAACAGCCGTTTCATCAACATTGAAAACTTGCTTAGGACTGTAGCCTTCAACAGCTATAATTGCTGTAAGGTCCACTAGAAATATTGCAGCAGCAACATGATCAAGACTTGCAGATTCTCCTGTCACTTTAATGTTGTGCAGATTTTAAGACCAATTAAATTTGTCAGACCAGCCCTTACTAGTCATGAAGGGTTCCTAAGGATCACTTTCATCTTGTGATGAATGGTTTTGAAAACCGACAAGTTGAAGATTGAGACACACATGCAACATATGGGAATCTTTATTGAGGAAATGCTTCGCCACACAGTGGCTTCATCAGTCCAATACAGAGCAGAAAGGTGTAAGTAGAGGTGGAGTTTGAGGTAATCAGTCCCTCAGCCTCACTTTCATCTTGTATTAGGCCATCATAAATTTTTTCCATCTTCTCTAGTAACAGGTTTCTTACTCTGATTGTTACTTTAGCAATGTTGAGAGCATTAAAGCTCCTAATGCTCTCAACATTGTTCTTAATAGAGCGAATAGTTGACTCGCCAACATCGAATGTACACCTAAGCTCAGCTGGATCCTTCTTCAGCATCTCAATTATTCAAAATCTCCAGCTAGTGTTAGAGAAGACCTCTTGCATTTTTCTGTGCATCAAGGAGAGGGCTAAGGGATGACTTGGTAGGATGCTGAGAAGCCATAATGATACCTGCAGTGGTGAACACCCAGAGAATGTCTTACCAAGATACTGAGATATGAACACTGCCATAAAGAATAAAAAGGCACAATACTGTGACTGGAACAATATACAAATAACCCACATCTAGGAAACAAACTTATGATGACATGATTGTTTTCTTGATGTCCCATGCCAAGTGACACATGCAAAGTGCCAACAACCACCTGCCATTCATTCCCGATCACATAAGAGCGAATTTCAAATGCATATAGCAAATTCCTGGTAGAAATAGGATCACTGCATATGAGTGAAATTACACATAGCAAATTGACATAAATGGCTTTCTGCAAATGAGAAGTCAACATTTTATACTCTACATTCAACCACAGAGAATGTTTTCAAAGAAAAACTAAAAACAAATTAAACATTGATTTCATTCATGAAAACAAGCACTGTACTGTATCTGAATGTAAAATATATACAGTATTTGTATTTACAGACAATTAAATAGTAAAAATTATGCAGCATTAATGTTTAAGTTTCCTTTTAATTATTAGGTATATATTTTAACAAGTAATGAGCTGTATAGCCCTTGTGGCTTAGCGCTTCTTTTTTTTTATTATAATAATAAGTAATGACTTGTTGATAAGTTGTGCTTAATGCTGTAGTATACAGATAACTTATTTTTTTAAAACCCTTTTTCTATTTAACTTTTTCAGTAAAGTATATGAAAATGTAAAAATATTTTGCATATATTCAGAATTAGCTTTTTATAGCTAAGTGGTATGTCTTTTAATTACTATTTATGCGAGTTTATAAAAATAATTTAGATTTTTTACCTTTGTGAATTCCATAAAATAAATATGCTCTATCTACAGATGTGAAGTACAATATAAGAACACCTTTCAGTGAAGTATGTTCTTACATCAAATATGAATTTAATATATCCTTTTATTGTTTATGTGTGGCTGGATATTTTGTAATATTTTAGCTATTAACAACTCATTTAGTACATTTAATTTCAGTTTTTTACTGCAACATCTTCCATGAAGGAAAATGCCATACATTATTTGGAGCAAATTTTCATTATTAAAAAAAAAATAGTGACAGTTGCATTATGAAATTGTAGAGTTACCTACCCTTTAGCCTGAAGCAGCAACTTTCTCCACCTGTCCTGGTGGAGATTTCTGATACAGCAGGTGTTGTTGGCAGGCACCCTTGGGTAGTAATGATTGATATGGTCTTTCCTGTAACTCTGGCTACTGGCAAGAAGCCAGACCAGTAAAAAAAAATTACAGTTTCCCATCCTTGGTGAAGCCTTCTGGCACTTGGAACAACATACACACATACACAGTATTGTTCCAAATCTTTCAAACAGGTAAGTGCAAATATTTAATTTTCTTGTGAGCCAATTCCTCTCAAGGGAGGTTCCTTGATGCTAGTGAGGAGCTCTTGATCTAGGAAATTGGATCTATGCTCTGGTTCCCTGAATTGAGCCTAAATACCTTCCATTCCTTCCCCCCCCCCCCCACATGTGCTGTATAATCCTATGAGTTTAGCACTTCCTCATGAATATAATAATAATAATTGTGAGCTAATTTTCATCATTTTCATTCACTTTTATGAACAAAAATTTTGTAATGTGCCTTTTTGTGACTACAGGGGCAGACCTATGGTCATGACATTACATCTTCATTAGTATCTTCATCACGAATATTTTTTAAATTTACAATGGTTGCAGCATTTACTAGCCTACTTTTTCAGTTTACCTATCTCCTCTACTGCTACTATTTATAAATAAAAATTTCCCAGTATCCTTTTGGATAAATCTTTTCCTAATTACATTTGTGGCCTCTTTATTACCCATGTTGAAGGGGGCTAAAAAAAACTTTTATCTATTTTTCACATCCTTTTATAACTTTATATGATGTTATCATATTGCCTCTTTTTCTCCTTTCAAGCAGCATGAGCATCAAAAGTGTGTTCAGCCTTTCATTATAACTTGTATTGTTTTTAGCTCTGGGATCCAATGTGTAGCATTTCTATGAGGCCTTTTTTTTTATCTGATCAATATTGTTTTAGGTGCAGACATTACACAATATCTGCATGCATGTGTAGTGTGCAATGGAGGAACATCTTCAAAACAAAATATTGCCAAAACTTAATCTACTTGCTCTACATGTCTTCATATATCACAGTCATATTCAGAACTGCATAATGGACATTAAAATGGTGCCTAAGTGATTTCTGCACAAATGTACTGGATGAAATCAATTGTGATATGTTGAAACCCTTTATCAGGTTTATGAATCAAAAGATAGTAGTTATTTACCATTCCTTTTATTTTACTGAGTTACTGGTTTGCCTTTACATGTACTCCTCAATAGGATATTTAAAAAATAAATACATATATTATTTGTGATTAATTTCTGTTAAACGGTATGTATAGAAATGGGAGGTAATCATTTTAGAATTCTAAAGACAGGTGGTGCAGCTTTACTGTTTCTCTCAAAGAGGTGTCTTGGTGCAGGTGAGGGGCTCTTGATTAGAGAAATCAGAGATACCCTCTCCTTTCCAGGATCAAATCTGAATGCCTCCCATTCCCCAGACACAATACAACTCTTCTGACTGTATCCCTTATCATTACTCATTAATATGTGGCATTTTGCTTTGCATACCATCACTCATTCCCAACTACCTTAAGTCACATCAACTCATGACAGTCAAGTATTCTACACTAGATACAGAAGTAAATTATTACATATTGAGCCTTAGGAGTAATTCTGTGACTGAACTTGAAAAAATGCCTACCTAGTCTTCGTTTGTACTTAATCTTTGTTTACTCATGTGGGCCTAAATTTTCAACTAAAGTTGGATTGCTTCCACCCATGAAATATTTGATTTAGGTTAAAGGTATAAGAAATCCTTGCTACATGCATGCACCAGTGATTTGATACTGTTGGTCATGACTTGCTAGGTGAGGATTATATGCCACTGGATACATCGCTCTGCACATTTCCTTCTGATATCATCAGTAGTCAAATCAAATGAACTAAACAGGCAAAGTAAATGATGGCATTACTGTAAGCAAATAAATCAATATACTCTCAGTTTTTTACAATAATATTTTAGGTTAGAAACATTTATATTCTTTCTTTCTTTCAACACACCGGTCATATCCCACCGAGGCGGGGTGGCCCAAAAGGAAAAATAAAAGTTTCTCCTTTTACATTTAGTAATATATACAGGAGAAGGGGTTACTAGCCCCTTGCTCCTGGCATTTTAGTCGCCTCTTACAACACGCATGGCTTACGGAGGAAGAATTCTGTTCCACTTCCCCATGGAGATAAGAGGAAATAAACAAGAACAAGAGCTAGAAAGAAAACAGATGAAAACCCAGAGGGATGTGTATATATATGCTTGTACATGTATGTGTAGTGTGACCTAAGTGTATTACCTGGAGTTTACCTGGAGAGAGTTCCGGGGGTCAATGCCCCCGCGGCCCGGTCTGTGACCAGGCCTCCTGGTGGATCAGAGCCTGATCAACCAGGCTGTTGCTGCTGGCTGCACGCAAACCAACGTACGAGCCACAGCCCGGCTGGTCAGGAACCGACTTTAGGTGCTTGTCCAGTGCCAGCTTGAAGACTGCCAGGAGTCTGTTGGTAATCCCCCTTATGTATGCTGGGAGACAGTTGAACAGTCTCGGGCCCCTGACACTTATTGTATGGTCTCTTAACATGCTAGTGACACCCCTGCATTTCATTGGGGGGATGTTGCATCGTCTGCCAAGTCTTTTGCTTTCATAGTGAGTGATTTTCGTGTGCAAGTTCGGTACTAGTCCCTCTAGGATTTTCCAGGTGTATATAATCATGTATCTCTCCCGCCTGCATTCCAGGGAATACAGTTTTAGGAACCTCAAGCGCTCCCAGTAATTGAGGTGTTTTATCTCTGTTATGCGCACCGTGAAGGTTCTCTGCACATTTTCTAGGTCAGCAATTTCACCTGCCTTGAAAGGTGCTGTTAGTGTGCAGCAATATTCAAAGTTTATTCTCTATAAGGATTACAATGCTGAGTTTACAGAAATTTGGTTATTGTGTGGTTTACATGTAGTAAAATAGTGATTACAGAGTGTACCACTAGAACGCTTAGCATGGCTAGGCATTTCGGGCAGACTTAGTTTTATTCTTAATTGTAAAATATTACAAATTATGAGGTAAGTTGATATTATGGCTAAGTGACTAAATACTAGTTTGTGAGTTTAGCAATGTGAATGCTTTTGTTTTGGCACAGTACATAGTTCCAGCCTAGATAGAACAAGTGACCTGAAGAGTGTCATCATGGGCTTGGCCTCCCTAGTTTTGAAGATTCTCATTATCCATCCTGTCATTTTTCTAGCAAGATAAGATAAGATAAGATTTCGTTCGGATTTTTAACCCCGGAGGGTTAGCCACCCAGGATAACCCAAGAAAGTCAGTGCGTCATCGAGGACTGTCTAACTTATTTCCATTGGGGTCCTTAATCTTGTCCCCCAGGATGCGACCCACACCAGTCGACTAACACCAAGGTACCTATTTGCTGCTAGGTGAACAGGACAACAGGTGTAAGGAAACGTGTCGAAATGTTTCCACCCGCCGGGAATCGAACCCGGGCCCTCCGTGTGTGAAGCGGGAGCTTTAGCCACCAGGTGAGATCCTCCGACATGATCACTCCCAGGTCTTTGACGTTGGTGTTTCGCTCTATTTTGTGGCCAGAATTTGTTTTGTACTCTGATGAAGATTTAATTTCCTCGTGTTTACCATATCTGAGTAATTGAAATTTCTCATCGTTTAACTTCATATTGTTTTCTGCAGCCCACTGTAAGTAGAAGTAGCAAGATGTACCCGTAATCTTGCATATTTATGAGACAGACAAAAGACACCAGCAATCCTACCATCATGTAAAAACAATTACAGGCTTTCGTTTCACACTCACTTGGCAGGACGGTAGTACCCCTCTGGGTGGTTGCTGTCTACCAACCTACTACTGTACCTACAAACATTTATATATCATGAATAATTTATTGTTTACATTCCCATAGTTGCAGGACTTTTATCAAATAAGATTACTGAACAGTTCTATCACTTACTGAATAACCCACATGGATTTAGAACTTTCTATAAATATAATAACAATTTAATCAAATAATTTATTCACCAAGTTTTTACTAATGAACTGTACAGTGGTTAGCAAATATCCAATATTTTATGTAAAATATGCTACAGGTATATTTTAAATATTAAAGTCTTAAAATATGTAAATGTGTTTCAATTTTCTTTGTTTTATAGAGATGACAATATAAAATAAGATTTTGTTATGGAATTATTAGTAGGTTTTATTAGGACTTTCTGCAAACGGTTTTACAAACATAAGTTAAAATTGTAATAGTTTTGAGGACACACATATTATGGGTATATGTGCATACATACATGTAGCACATTATGTAGATTATTCCAAGCCTATTAACCCAGTAAAGTTAACTAATTTGACTTGCTTCTATTAGGGACTTTATACCTCATAGTTGGCATGCATGTATGATGGAGGGAGGGGGTACAAGAGGTTTTGTGTACAAGGGGCTTGGACATGCAGCAGGCATGTGTGAGTGTTGGATAGGAGTGAATGGAGACAGATGGTTTTTAGAACCTAACAAGCTGTTGGAGTGTGAGCAGGGTAATATTTTGTGAAGGGATTCAGGGAAACTTGTTAACCAGACTTGAGTCCTGGAGGTAAGAAGTACAATGCCTGCACTTTACCATCATAGAAGCTAAGATGTGTAGTTATAAAAATAGGTTAGATAAATACATGAGTGGGTGTGAGTTGGACCTAACTAGCTTGTGCTACTAGATCAGATGCTGTGCTCCTTCCTTAAGTGAATGTGACCTGACCTGACTAGGTTAGGGCATTGGTTTAAGCCGGTAGGAGAACTGAACCTGCCTCGCATGGGCCAGCAGGCCTGCTGCAGTGTTCCTTCTTTGTTATGTTATTATATTGACATTTTTGGAGTGGCAGCTAAACTGTCATGTCTGGGCACCTCTGCAAAGACAGTGATTATGTGAGTGATGGTGAAAGTGTTGAATGATGATGAAAGTTTTTTTTTCTTTTTGGGTCACCCTGCCTGGGTGGGAAATGACTGACGTGTTAAATAAATAAATAAATAAATAAATAAATAAATAAATAAATAAATAAATTAAATATATATATATATATATATATATATATATATATATATATATATATATATATATATATATATATATATATATATATATATATATATATATATATATATATTTGTTCCATTTTATATTCAACCCTTTGTAATAAGCGAAGAAGTATGATCGTCCAAATCACATGCGTGGGGAAAAAAAAAAGATTTAAGATGATTAAAATCCTTAGCAGAGACCAGAAATCTACGAATGATTCTTCCGGACGTGGCAGTCCCGATCTCGGAGTTATATTAGGTTATTTTAGAATGGCTCTGGTAAGTTTAGTGTGACCCTGGTGGGTTTAGCGCTTGTTGTTGTTAATAATAATATGGTAAGTTCGTTAGGTCTGGTTACATTTTATGACCACTTGTGCAAACATCTCGACTAAAAAACAAACAATATTTTACAGCATAATGGTCATTATTATTATGGGGAGCGCTAAATCCGTAGGGATTATACAGCGCCTGTGGGGGTATGGCCCCTCAAGGAAGGTTCCTTGATGTTGGTGAGGGGCTCTTGATTTAGGGAATTGGATCTGTGCTCCAGTTCCCCAAATTAAGCCTGAATGCCTTCCACATCCCCCCCCCCCCAGGCGCTGTATAATCCTCCGGGTTTAGCGCTTCCCCCTTGATTGTAATAATAATAATGTGGGGGTATGGGACGAAAGCATTCACACATAATTCAGGGAATTGCAACATAGATCCAATTCCCCTGTATAATCCTACGGCTTTAGCGCTTTCCCCTTTGTTATAATAATAATTATAATAAGATCCAATTCCCTAGATCAAGAGCTCCTCACCAGTAACTTAATGGTCAAAATCCACAGAGTACCAGCCGTCTACTTTGATCATTAATAACTGGCAAAATGACAATTTCCACAAGAAATACTTTTATTGTATATCTGTGTTATGTATTGTAAAATGTAAACACAAGAAGATGTGCTTATTCTGCTGGCTATTAAGATAAGATAAGATAAGATTTCGTTCGGATTTTTAACCCCGGAGGGTTAGCCACCCAGGATAACCCAAGAAAGTCAGTGCGTCATCGAGGACTGTCTAACTTATTTCCATTGGGGTCCTTAATCTTGTCCCTCAGGATGCGACCCACACCAGTCGACTAACACCCAGGTACCTATTTGCTGCTAGGTGAACAGGACAACAGGTGTAAGGAAACGTGTCGAAATGTTTCCACCCGCCGGGAATCGAACCCGGGCCCTCCGTGTGTGAAGCGGGAGCTTTAGCCACCAGGCCACCGGGCCTGCTGTCTGCTGGTTAGTGGTCGTAAACCTTAGCCAGGCTCGTGATCCAAGGAACGAGAACTACATTTTCCTTCCTCGTATCAAATCGTATTAACCCAATATCTCCAAGATGCTTTATAACCTCTCTTTAGGTAAGAACTTCCCCACAAACATAATAAATAATAATAATAATGTGGCCCTAGGGCTGTCGCAACACTTTAATACATTTGTCCCCTGCAAGAAGGGCTCTTGATCCAAGGAATAAGGAACAAATACAGTTACATAGATTATCATACATAGCAGTATATGTGTAGAGAACTTATAATAACCCCCCCCCAAAAAAAAACTGACTTATTTCCACTAGGAACTAGACTTATCCTGTATTCCTTGGATCAAACCTTATTTCCTTCCATTCCCTAGACGCTGTATAACTACCTACGGGTTTAGCGCTTTCCACCTAAATCCAATAGCCATTTTAATACTTCATAAAGCTGGAGTCACACAAGCCAAGAACCACTGTATTCCTTCAATCCAATATTCTTGCTAAGATTTGTTCGGATTTCGGATTTTTATTGAGTATTACCAATGATTTGTGGTGTGTCAGCCTCAGTAGTCTTGTTCCACCATGAACATAAAGTAATAGGTTTTTTTTTTCATTCTTTATCTGATTCACTTGTTCTTATCATATCTTACTGGCTACCTGAATAAACTTACTTACTTACTTACTTAGACGCCATATATCAACTCTATTTTTTTTGTTGATATTCTACGGTACCTATAGTAGTGTGTGCAAGTAACTTAATATAGATACAGATACACATAAGTACAGTTACACAAATTTAAGTGACTATAATGATCATATATACTAACATACGTGTAAATTACCTAGGATAACTCAAAATAAAGTCAGACCATTGGAGTCCTTGTAATATCATGTTATTTACAGCCTACCTTTAAATAATAGTTTTTTGGAAGATCGCAGTTGTCATACATAGTAAAATATGCGTAAATCAGTAACATTTCCATTAAGGTCCTCTTTTTTATTATAATAATAATCCATTAAGGTCCTTGAGAAGCCTTACTTTTAAAAACTTGACTATTAAATTTGGAGTGATTGTTCCCTGGGTTGAGGTGGGCAATTCCACTTTACAAATACAAATAATTTATTTCTTAGGCACAAAAGAAAGCCAGCTCCTATACCTATTTATTAGGCACAAAAGAAAGTCAGCTCCTATACCTATTAGGCACAAAAGGAAGCCAGCTCCTATGCCTATTTATTAGGCACAAAAGAAAGTCAGCTCCTATACCTATTTATTAGGCACAAAAGAAAGCCAGCTCCTATACCTATTTATTAGGCACAAAAGAAAGCCAGCTCCTATACCTATTTATTAGGCACAAAAGAAAGTCAGCTCCTATACCTATTTAATAGGCACAAAAGAAAGCCAGCTCCTATACCTATTTAATAGGCACAAAAGAAAGCCAGCTCCTATACCTATTTATTAGGCACAAAAGAAAACCAGCTCCTATACCTATTTATTAGACACAAAAGAAAGCCAGCTCCTATACCTATTTATTAGGCACAAAAGAAAGTCAGCTCCTATACCTATTTCCTCAAGGGCATATTTTCTCATTTCCCAGGTTTAGACAATGTTTTTATTGTTAGGTAAAAAGGACACACATGCAACTAATGTTACATTTTGTAGGTATGTAATAAGATACTACAAGGCCCCCAATGGAAATGAGTCACTATGGCTTTTTGGGGGGGTTATCTTAGTCAATTTACACGTTACTTTGTATGATAATTTGTGTAACTGTATTTATGTGCATCTGTACCCAAATAAACTTACTTATTCTACCATTATTATTAATATTTTTATTCTCCATGGACATCATAAAAAGCTTAAAACAGTGTGATCTTTGGTGGCCCTTTACAACCCTAACAACAGCAGTGACACATCTAAATTACTATCAGAAGGAACCTTGGAGAAGAATATTACATCTGGCACAACCACCGGGAGGAGTACAAACCTCTTTAAGTACACTGTAAGTACACCTAGGAAGTAGCAGGTGTTGTAATGAAGTTTCATTACATCAGTTGTACACAGTACTGACTGGTTATTTGTGTGCAACACCTGCAAGTTTATGAACTAGATAGCAGATGTTGCACACGTGTTTAGTTCATCGAGGGAGTTTGAATGATGATAGCTTTATTTTAGATTAATATACAAATATGCACAATAATTTGAAAGCCAATATGTAGTGGGCAGAACATGTCGGGCCTGGTGTTTTCTTCTGGTTTTATTAAACTTACTCAACTGCATGACCCTTATAAGTTTACCAGTTATTATTATTATTATTTATTATTTATTATTATTATTATTATTATTATTATTATTATTATAATAAGAATGTTGCTCCTCAGTGTTTTATTAAACTTTTTATTAAAGTTTCTCAACTGCATGACCCTTATGGGTTTACCAGTTATTATTATTATTATTATAATTATTATTATTATTATTATTATTATTTATTATTTTATTATTATTATTTGAATGTTGCTCCTCAGTGTTTTATTAAACTTTTTATTTTTTTTTTTTTTTTTTTTTTTTTTTATATTTTTATTTAAAACAACACAATACATTAAATAAATAAAAGAACACAGTATCAGTTCTTACTCAAAATTATAAATCTCATTGTCTAAATGAACACAGACGATTAACGTTGTGTTGTCACACCTGTCCCTCATCCCATATACATTACATCCAATGTAACTATGTTAAGTAAGATTACATCATTATTATTATAACCAAGGAAAACCCAAACCTACAATCTGCATTATTTTTTCCACTTTGTTATTTATATATTATTAATCCACATAATCTTCAAACTCCTTTACAATACTCATTATTGCCAGTGCCGACACAGCTGACACTTCTACCCCCCCCCACTCATTATTGTCAGTGCCGACACAGCTGACACTTCTACCCCCCCCCCCCCCCGTATGTACAGTCCCCATTCTAAATAACATACATTAATTTCCTAATGAATGGTCATTGAAAACAATATCTACTAAAATAACAGGGTCATTATAAGACATGTAGGAACGAGTCCTGCAATCATATATGTATACATATACGCATGCATATACACATACGTGTATGTGCACTTATTCATAAGAACAAACTAAATCATACATAGAAATAAATCGCTAAATGACTTGTCTGCAAATAAACTAAATATTACAATCTATGATAGAACTATACAAAGACATTGGTTCCCCCAAACACACCTACATACACAAAGTTAATGTTACTGATTAACACTCAATTATAATAGGACCTTCCATACAAAATAAGGGGATATATAAAACCCTCTAAAATTTACTTATATATTTTCGTACATAGTGCATAATGTACATATTCAATACAATAATAAAAAAAAAGAGATGTATGACAAGGCTAAATCTATCTTCAGATTAAAGATATATAAGACATAACCTCACATTATACATATAAATTATAAACCTTCCTATATAAAAGATTCTTATAACAATAAGGGAAAACCGAAAATCACATACAACTTTTGACTCTGTGATTTTACAAAAATTCTAAGGTCTACATACTCCTACAATAGACTTTACCCACATCAACCACCGTTGCAAACTAATCAACCATACCTCATCAGGCTTCCAATCACACCAAGAGGGCACACCACTGAAGAGACCAACCCCTTGCCTCTCACCCCATACTCAAACGGAGTAAACGTTCAACAGTCAAGTCCACGATATCCTCGGAAACTAATTACCACCTTCCCCCATATAATTGTTTGTTCCTACATGCTGTCCTATAAAAAACTCGCCGCCAACGCTTTTATCCTAATGTTCCCCTCCACCTCCCTCATCCCCAAGAAACATACAAGTAATCAACTATTACATATCTGATAGCCCTTCCCACTCTTTGGGTACCCCTTCCATATCTAACATTAAAGCCCTAAGGGGTGATATCTTTCCCCCCCCAATAAAAAGAAAACCCTCTTCAACCACAATCTTACCACCTCCAATGCAGAACAAAAATATTACTACATGAAAAGCCGTTTCAACTTCCCCACAAAAAGCGCATGACGCCTCTTTCACAAAACCCATTCGTCTTAGCTCCTCTTTTGATGCTAACGTCCCCATAAGAAATCTATATACTAATTCCCTCGCTCTTGCCGGTATTCTTAATTTACTAAATTCCACCCATATCCCTCTCCAATCATATGTGGGATACACTGCCATCCCTTGCATTAATTCCTGACGACGACCCACACCCACTAACCGTTTACCTGAGTTTTTTAACTTTGCATACCTTTAACATAAAACCGCAACATGTCTTCACACTCCACTAAGTCCCTGCCACCCCACCATTTGCGGATATCCCCCATCACCTCCCCCACCCGAAGACCCCTTTCCCCCGCTGCCCGAATATACCTCTGCTTCACATATAGCGCCTTCACTCTAGACCCTAATGCAATCAATCCAGTCCTCCCTGCCTTACCGCAGTCATTACTACATCTTTGCCCAACCACGCCCTCCATAGCCCCACACATACCTTAAGACCCTTCTTTGCATTTCCATAATATCCTGACTTCTTAATGGGTAAATTTCCGCCACTCCCCACACCTTACTATAATCAGCGTATTTACCACCAAAACCTTTGATGCAAGGTTACATCCCCGGCCCTTAGACCCTCAGCCTACTCAAAGCTCTGTCCATTACCATTTCTGAATTAACCCTCCTGCTCTCCTGTGCATCTGCCAAAAAACAAAATCCACAAATCTTTAGCCTATCTACAGTTATCCAACCAAACTCTCTCCCCAAGGTCCCTCCTACCAAGCGCCTACCTCCAACAACCGTGATTTCTGCTTATTAACCCTCATCCAGTAGCATTCCAAAAATCTCAATTACCCTTCCCACTTTTCTTAAATCTTCAATCCCATTAAGTAAAACAGTTGTATCATCTACATAACCAACAATATTCCCACAATATCCTCCACTCTCCCCCAACCTTCCCATCCCACCATCAACCAGAACATAGAAAGGATTCTGCATACATGCAAAGAGTATTTGGGAGAGTGGACACCCCTGCCTTAAACCCCTTCCCATGCTTACTGAACTACCCAATCTCCCATTTACCTGTACTCTCATTGATGCATTCTCATACAAAGTCCTCACCCATCCAACCACCCTCCTGCCAAAACCCATTCTCACCATACTCTCAATCAAAAATTCCCTATCCACATAATCATAAGCTTTCTCCCAATCCAGCCCTAGAATACCTCCCTTATTACTACCCTCAAGGAAATCCCGAATACGACCATGACCTACCCGCATATCCTCCCCGGGATACCAAACTGTCCCCATGTATCACCGCCCCCATGACCTTTCTCAGTCTATTACCCAAAATTTTCGCAAAAACCTTGTAATCAGCGCACATCAAAGATATTGCACGGTAAGCACTCAACTCTCTACCCCCCCTTTTTGGCACCAAAACTATGACACCCGTACTTTGCGATATGCCCAACTTCCCACTAGTTAACATATGGTCCAATAGCCTAACAAAACACTGCCTAATACACCCCCAATGTGCTCTATAAAAATCATTTGGTTATACCGTCTATCCCTGGTGTTTTCCCGGTACTCATCCCGAAAACTGCCTCTTCCACCTCAACCTCACTTATACCAACCTCCAACCCCACTCTCTCCTGCTCACTTAAAACGCTATGGAACCCCCCTTCAAAAATACCCTCCCAGGAACCCCCCTCCCTCCAACTCCATTTCTCTCTAAACCAACTATCAGCATAGAGACTCATACTTTCCGTATTGGATAGGACTCGACCCACTGGATACCCTCCCACCCCAGGGCTTGTCTCCAATTGTAGAATGGTGGTTACACTCTGTCGGTCCCGAAATTTACGTAAAACATACCCAGACGGCTTATCACCCACAAAACATCCTCTAACCCGCCCTAACCCTAATTGCATCAAACCTATCATTGTGTAATTCAGCTATTCTACTCCGCAGTCTGTCCATATCATCCCTCCTACCACCTCCCCCAACATAACAATCTTGCAACTGTCCCTCCAGATAATTTTGCAACCCAAAACGCCACCTCGCCTCCTCTCGTCCCCTAGCCTTAAAAAAATTCGCTATTCCAGGTTTTGCCTGCATTTCCCACCAATCTAACAGATCTATCTCCCTGTTCCTAGCCTCCCAAAAAGGCAACCACCAATCACTGAAAAAAGGCCCCCCCCCCTCCTCCTTAAGAAGCCTTACATTTAATTTCCAGTACCCAGAATAAATACGCACCACTCCATCCCACATCAAATCTGCTATTACCGCTCTGTGATCAGAAAACCCCACATCGAAGGTTTGCACCCTCACAACATCTATACCCTGCTTAATATAAATTCTGTCTAATCGCGCTTCATATCCCTACGGACGAACGTATGCTCCACTAGGTAACCCCCCCTCCCCACACATCAACAACCCCAATATCTCGCAATACATCCCTCAGCACACTCAGCACACAACCCGCCCCTCTCGGTTCGACATCACCACTCCTAATCACACAATTCCAATCACCTCCTATTACTGTTATAGCAGGCAAACCTCTCAAGTGATACAGCAATACCTCTCTGACAAAATCTACTTTTACCCTGATATTACTAGTTGCTGGCATGTAAACTCCCACGAAACTAACTCGACTCTCACCCCAGACGCCATCCACCCTCACGATCCTCCCACCCCCCCCCTTTCCCAACCAATGACACGCAAGGGGCTGGTCTCCTTTACCGCAACTGCTACCCCACCTTTCAATTGCAAACCACTGGTTACATACATCCGATATCCTTTCACCTCAACACACTACCAGCCCTGTGATTATGCTCTTGCAAAAAGCATATGTCAACATCAAACCGCCTTAAAAACCACTCCAACCAAACTTTCTTGACCTCAGTCTTAAGTCCATTAACATTAAACGTGACACATCTGAAAATTACAGAAGGGGCGGCTTTCCCCTATGCCTCTGGGATTTACCCATGCACTTTTCATATTACGTGTTCCTTTGCCACTCGAGTTTTCCTGTGCAGTCACTTCCCCCCTCCCTTTCCCAATTTGCAACTCAGGCACACCTCTACCACTATGTGTCCTCGGCTCCACAACCGCTGCCATGACTTCTTCCCCGGCCTCTGCCCTGGGGTAATGACCTCATCTATCTCTGATGCCGCAGTTCGTTTCCTAGAACTCACACTTACACACATATCACCCTCAGACAATTCCTCCTGATGTACCTCCACGGCCACCACATTGCTCCGCCCAATCTTACTCAAGTCTTCCTCAACAATTTGTTGTCCCTCCAAAGTTCCAGCTTCACATGAACTGAGGACACCTTTTGCACAGGGTTCCTCCTCATCCAAAAAATCCTTGATCACATCTGCCAATAACCCATCCTGGGTTGAAGCTTCCTGGACGAAAGTCTCCTCAGATGTCACCTTCAACTCCCCCGACGCCCCTGGGAGAGTGACACATGTCTCCGCCGCCTCCACCTCCCGGTCGACCTTTCGCTCCAGAGGTCATTCCTCCGGCCTCCGAGGCATCAGAGCCAGGCACCAAATTACACGACTGCTGAATCACAACTGGAGTGTCGAGAATTCGAGAAGCCCGCCTCCTAGGACACTGGGCTGCCATGTGCTCATAAGAGCTACATAGACGACATGTTTTCCTTTGCCCAGCATAGTACACATAAACCTGTGTTCTACAACCGATCATCGTAACATAGGATGGTATAGGCCTTGTTAAGGTCATTTTAAGGGTGTAAGAACCTTCCGGCATTCCTTCATATGGACCATCCCTCCACACCCCCATTGTTGCAGAATGTACTGTCCCATAACTTCGAAAAAACTCCTGCAGGCCATAAGCCGTAGCCTCGAAGGGTACATTCCGTACCTTCACCCATGTGAAGTACTTAGAGACGTCATGTAACACAACATCCATCGTTGAATTCACGCTCATACGTTGCTCCTGGTAATGCTCGACAATTCTTGTGTAGTAATCGACTCGTAGAAATTTCACAAAGATTCTTGTTAAACCATTAAGGGCGACGCCATACAATTCCTCGTTGGGAATACCATATGTATCCCTGATGATGTTAGGGAGAAGGACGTTCATCGTATCTCCACTTAACGTACCACGAACCAGCTCTATGCAGATAGTATTCACTCTCCGTACTGTATGTTCCGCCATGTTGATATCCCAATGAGCAGCGCACGTCCTCACTACTCAATGGTTGTTGCTGAACTAAGGTAGCTCGCCTGAGAGACAGCAGAGGGGTGCCGAGACAACCTCACTCCACCGTGGTCAGGCAGCGAATCCCTTCTTTTTATTAAACTTTCTCAACTGCATGATCCTTATGGGTTTACCAGTTATTATTATTATTATTATTATTATTATTATTATTATTATTATTATTATTATTATTATTAATATTATTATTATTATTATTATTATTATTATTATTATTATTTGAATGTTGCTCCTAAGTGTATTTTAGTGATAAATTATATACTGTAGCTTAAAATTACTAAGCTTAATTGGGTTCTGCTATGGAAAAACCTGACAAAACCTAATATAGCCTAAGGTAACCCAACATAACCTAATTTTTTTTTTTTTACTGTATTTTCCATATTTAGCAGCTCTCAATTTTATAGTATTTTCTGACCTAACTTGTTCCCTTG